TTACACGTTCCGAATTAGTTAAGAGTCGCTTCTTAACCACTAGTCATAAGAATGTTCGAACCCATTGAGAAGCTTGAGCGCGCCATAAATACGCCACGGTTGGGGTTCCAGTTCATGTTCGCATGGTGAAATCGCCTTGATAAGCCGATCTAGTCGTAAACCGACCATCCTCAGAGGCACCCCAAAGAAGCCGATCATCGCCTGCCCTCGGTCTTGGGGGTCGAGATTGAGGTGAATTATTTCAAAAGCCCGAGTGTCTAGCAAAAATACATAGTTAAATAAATTAATGATCTTCTAATTGAACAGATCAAGTAAATTCAGTCATCTTAAACAAGTAATGTTTAAAAAAAAAAATGCCATTGACCGAACATTTATTTTACTTTTACTTATGTTGTTAATATTAATTTTATTTACTTTTGTTCTCTAAAAATAACTATTAACATTTAAATGAAAATTGTATTGATTTTAATTTAGGGTGTGATTGTATATAAATTCAATAGTAAAAAATTCAGTCAGAATTCAAATTTAACTCAACTTTAACTCTACCCCACTATCTTCAATATTAATAATATAATTAAATAATATCAACCAATCATTCTTACACCTCACATCAATTTTAATTCACTATTCATCCACTCACATAATTCTAACTAACTATCACTTCTAATCATTTTTCTCATATTTTACATTAAATCAACTTTAATTATTTTATTTAAATATTATTTTAATATATCCACTAACAACTAACCACACCACATTTTTTTCAAAATTAACTATAGTTAAAAATAAACTAAATAAAAACTAAATTTTTTTTACCGTTGAAACTATAAACAATCACCACCTTAATTATGAGAAATTATTGCATTGAAAAGGGTGAAGAGTGCATACACGAACACGAGTGACAACTGACAAACGGCAGGAAAAAAAAAAAATAATAAAAAAAGAAAAGAAATGAGGCCACAAATAGTGTTGTTTGGGGACTCACTAACACAAAGATCATTCGAATCAGGGGCTTGGGGTGCTGCAATTGCTGATATTTACTCAAGAAAGGTTTCATTTTATTTTTAATTTTTTTTGTTCCAAGATTCAATTTTTATGAGCAGATCTTAATCTGGGCCAGCTTGAATCTGTACGAAACCTTACAGATCTTGGTATTTTTTCAGGCTGATGTTGTGCTCCGAGGTTATGGTGGATATAACACCAAATGGGCTCTCTTCTTGTTGCATCACATTTTTCCTCTGGTAATTGTTTGATTGATTCTTAAACGGGCTTCGATTGACTGTTGTTCACCTTTACTTTTTTTTTTTAATGGGGTTAATTTGTCTGCTTTTGTTGTTTTGGCTGTTCTGTTTGGATCTGCTTCTTGGTTGATTTATACATTTTTTAACAAAAAAAAATCATATTTAAGCTATGAAATTTCGGGAGATGCTACCCGTTACGGAACCATTCCGTCGGGGTTTGTAACCGTTAGATCATCATGTAGTCGTCGGAATGGTTGATGTAACGGTTACAAACACCGATGGAATGGTTCCGTAACGGGACCGTAGCATTTCCCTGAAATTTCACACTTTGGTTTGTATTGATTTTTAGAGTATGTTATTTCAGTTTGGAAATATGTATATTGATTGGAAAATGTATGGTTATGTAACGGTTAGGCTAGGTTTTTCATGAATTTGGATTTTTATGGGTTCCAAAGCTATATCTAGTGAATTTCTTCAGGTCTTATACTTTTATGGGGTATCACAGTTTTCTTGCCAAAATATGACAAATTATGCATCTTTTGATCCACAGTTATGAATCTTATGTAGTATGACTGGTTCACTAGAATGTCTTTAAATTGAGAAAAAAATATTCTCCTCATTGTTAAATAAGTATTCATGAACTCAAATTATGTGATCTCAATTCTACAGAGGTTTACATGGTGTCGATTATTGGTTCTAAAGGAACATTTGAACTCTGAAGATACTTGTGTTTTTTTGAACACTTTTACCTCGTGTATTAGAATGTTACGCAAATACTCCTTTATTATGTCAAACATACAGAAAAATTAATCACCGAGTTCTAATTAGAAGATATGATATTTTCATCACTTGTTGGTGTTCTGTTTTTCTTAATTTGTAAGGTTTGCTACTTCTTGTCTGATTTGCAAAACTATTAAAGGTTAGTTTGTATTGTATGGTTATTATCTCTCGAACTCAGGTGTCTTCAACTCCTCCTATTGCCGTTACTATATTTTTCGGGGCTAATGATGCTGCTCTATTAAGTGGCACCGGACGAAAGCAGCATGTGCCTATTGAAGAATACAAAGAAAACCTGAGAAAAATGGTCCGCCACATTAAGGTGTTTATGAACTTCTTTTTGATTTTTTGATTTCTCATTGTAACATTTATATTTGTTTGCATTTTATCATCATTCAACAACATCAACAACAACAAAGCCTTTTAGTCCCAAACAAGTTGAGGTAGACTAGAGATGAAACCCAAGAGAAACAGTGGTAAGAAACACAAAAAAAGGCTAAGAAATTACGAACAATTGATCTTTTAGTTTTACGACCATTCTCCATTACAGCATTTTTTTATCTTTTTTTCGCAGAATTTGTCCAAAGACACGCTTGTTGTGCTTATAACTCCACCTCCTGTTGATGAGCAAGGGCGTCGAGAATTTGCAAGGTAGTTACATTTTTTTTCTTTTAAACTTCAGAAAATAAAGGTAGTTTCTCAAGTTCCACTCGAAAGATGTTATTTTCTTATTCTTTTTCTATTTGATTTTTCACATAACTACCAAAAAAAAACCCAGCTATCATACAATACTACAAATAGCCACCAAACACGACATCTATCTCAACAACTCTCAATAGTGTGTATCCTTAAGTCGGATCATTCTGTATTTTTAGCAGAAAGGTGGGATATTTTGCAACTTGGATACAATTTTTTTCAAAAAATTCCAATTATTCATAACCAATCACTTTTTTTTTTTTTAACTCAAATCTAACTCAAGCCACTATTCTCAATATTATCAATATAATTAAATAATACTATTCAATCATTCTTACACATTACATCAACTTTAATTCACTATTCATCAACTCACATAATTTTGAGTTTTTGACTAATCCACTTCACATCATCTCTCTCCTACTTTTAAATCAAATCAATTTTATTATTTTATTTTAAGCATAATTTTAATATAAACTCGAAATCTCATTTACAACTAACCATACCACTTTTTTCAAAATTAACCATACCAAATCATAAAATCCAACCAAAATCAAAATATTTTATATCCAAGCATATCAACCTTGAATTTCAAGTTTGTGCAATGTACTTAGATTGATAATTTCAACGTGTTATTGAGCAGGTCTCTATATGGGGATAAGGCCTCTGAAGTAAATGATCGAACGAATGAAGTGACTGGAAAATACGCAAACGAGTGTGTCGATCTAGCCAATGAACTCGGCCTTCCCTCAGTCAATCTATGGTCCAAAATGCAGGAAATCGGTGGCTGGGAGAAAAAGTTCTTGAGGTTTGTAGTTTTTAGACCTTTTGGTTATATTTCAACAACTATCTGTTGG